AATGAACACTTAAAAAGTTTGATTTCAAAACTGTGCAATTGCTATAGTCCAAACAGAAATTTTCTGCAAACGACAAGAAATTGTTTAAAACAAATAAGGTGAACGATGGATCATTCAGAATTGAAGAGAAAACTTACGGAACTTGTTCAAGAACCCATAACAAATCATTCGATGGCAAGTCTTCACCTGGCTGGAACTTTTTGTAGTCAAGTGCTAACCACTGATTATTGTATGTGCCAGAATTGTAACGTCCGAATAATTTTGTCCATGTTCTTGCATCTCTTCAACAAATCAATCATTCACTTCAAAAACCACATCGAAACGTTTATAAAGCGAATAATTTTGTATCAAAATACTTTAGGAGCGTGGACGATTTCGTTTAATCTGGAATCTTACAATTAGGAACGAAAGATGATCTTGTAAATGATCTGGCTTCAATTCTATATTGATGGAATTCCTTTCATATTAAAAATGTTTAACAAAACGCTCTCTAACTTGGCCAAGGTATTCGCGATTGATGTACGAACCCAACAATGGAGTTGTCCAACTGGTTTAACGAAATCTTTATAGAGCGTTTTGTTGTAGATGGCGAACGTTGTCTCTAATGTTGCCTACAAAATTAGTCATTAAATCCCGATTCATCCTGAATCAGTTAATGAAGATAAAATTCGATATATCCTTCAATTAGGAGTCAATTTCCATAACAGTTTCAATTTCCACTTATTAAACATAGCGCATACTCGATAGTTTATCCGAATTTCATTGCTCTGTAACTGTTTCAATTCATCTATCGTGGTTTCAGGAAGAGTCCGAACAAATATCATGGTATCGCCCGTTCTAGGATCACGATATTATTTTTGCACTTACCAGTCCACCACTTGTCAAAGTGAAGTCATCAGCCGATGTAATTGCAGCCGGATAACCCGAGAATGAAATGGTATGTCCTGGTACTTCCTCTTCATCTGAAGAGCGAAATTCTTACACAGGATAATCATTGATCGTTAGATTTTGTGAACTTAAAAAAATAATCACAATTTTCCACCTATCTTTTCACCAAACGTGCACCATGTACTGATTCATATATGTCGTACTTTAGAAGCATAATGATTAAGCTTACCATAGCCGAATTTGTACAGTTTCAGTACACGATTCATTGTATGGTAGCCCGACATAGCCACATGAGAGAAGAACATATCCTTGTTGCCCTCTGAGATCTTCACAAATCCAGAGCAATGCCCTGAATCTTCCACATCGCCAGGATCGGGTTTCTTGTCGAACACATTCGACAAATCGAACAAATCTCCATACAGTTGAATCATGCTGCAAATATTTTATCAAAACGGTTGAATACCGCATCGAAAACAATTTCTCTTGTACAGATTGAACCTCGTATCAAAAACTCTTCAACACATTTCTCATTCTTTTTTCACATTCCTCATAATTTTCATTCTTTATTTGACTTTTCAATGCGTTTTCTCATTCCTTTAACATGTTCACTAGTCGTTTTCTCATTCTTTTATCAGCCCTTCTTAGTTTTCTTTCATTCTTTTTCCAAACACTCTTCATTCTCATTTGTAATATTCACAATATGTTAGTGAAAAAACAAATGTTGTGATTTGATTACATTCTGAAGTATTGTTGAAAGACAAATTTACTCGACACTTCGTCTTCGTCAACAAAATACATGCTTAAAGGTAACTTGAGAGCATGAGACAATTGCTTCTTTTAGCGAAAAAACTTCCTTGAGATCATTAGCTTGCTCATATGAGGTCAGATTATGCAATCTAGAAGTGTACGCTGAAAGTGCTTTTGTATTTTACTACTCAACAGACAAACCCGCTAATTTCACATAAGCAATTATGATTTAATGAAACTATGTAATGATTCACATATGTCCTACTTTAGCAGCATAACGATTAAGCTTACTATATTCGAATTTGTACATTCATATGCAGATAATGAAACTCAAAAAAATGCCTTTCATATCATAAAAACGAGCACTTACAGAATAGGTGTGATATCGAAATTTATCTGTGGTTTGTACCATATTGGAGGTCTTTTTGAGTAGCCTTGCCATATTCCTGTGACTTGTGCGAACGAAAGATTCACCTGAAAGCAGTAAACGAAATGTATATCGAAAGCAGTTATGGAAACATTCACAGGCAGATTTCATCGCACATCAACATTCAGCAGTACAGTACTGTTCATGCGTTCTACGTGAATACACAAGACGAGCGATTTCGAATTTATTCTTATTAAAGACAATCAATGCTCATCAATTACTCCAACACATAATTCTCAATAAGTAATTTAGGTGAGCAGCCTAAACAAGGAGAAACTTCGTATACGTGAATACAGATGATAACTTAAGCTGACGCTAAAATTGCCTACTATTCAATAGTTTGAGGATATATCTGAGCCGTATCATCAATGAAACCACTATATCTTCTATATAATCATGCAAATTAACAAGCAAATCATTATCATGTCACAGACTTTTTCAGAGGGTAGGTAACAAAAATTTTACCTGTCTCCAATAGAGATCACTTTTCGGCTTTTGCGCAACGGTTTTTTTAATCCAGTTCAAATTCTCTGAGACATATTGGTAGAGCTTTTTACAGTAAGCTCGATATCCTTTGCACATATCCTCTATTGTATTACGGAAATGGTAATAAATCAACTCTCTCGATAGGATTCCTGAAACCATTAAATTAAATAACTTTTGAAGTGAATGCGGACTGCTCGATTGTTTCTGTTTTCAAAGCACTTCGCAATAAGCGTTTCAGTCTTTTCTCAAATGGCTGTTGGAGACGAGTCTTTGTTTCATTAGAAATGAAAATGTGATACAAAAAAGGAAACTGACCCTCAGCAACACCAGCCGCATACGCTTGTACTTCAGCAGAATAGTTCTTGAATGTCTCCACTTCGAATACACCCCATCTAAAATTCATCTCCCAAACATACACATTTCGAATAAGGTCTTTCACTTGGTTTTTATCAAAAATTCCTGAACAATGCTTTTAAAGAGCTACAAAAACCGTCTTAAACAATACGACTCGTAGTTCTGTTGCTCAAAGAATATTAACAATTGATCTAGTGCAGATCAATGGTA